ACTGTTTGCTAAGTCATGTCATCGTAGCCCCCGAGTCTTAAGACTACTCGAGGAGTTGGGTTGAGACTCTCCATGCTTGACCATGATATGACCAATGGATTACTGGAATATGTTGAATCTCGGTGGGTTAAAATTGACCCGTCCGGTGTGGGCAAGGGCCATAGCTTGATGGCCTCTTTTGTAATGATGAATTCTGTATAAAAAAATAGACAAACGAGAGTAATTGTTCTCGAAGACAATAAAAATGTATCAATAGGAACTTTGACAGGATGGATTTCACCTGATATTTTTTATGAAAAAGTATTAGCAGTAGGTTGCAGCAACAACGACAGAGGTGGCGGTTTGAAGCGCCGCACTGTGCAGCTCAGAAGTAATCCTCCGGGTCATGTTTGACCCCCCCCTTTTTTTGGACTTTGACTTTTCTTTCTGTTGTTCCAACCAATACAAGCGCACAAGAAGGGAGCAGCACGGCGGCTCAATATAACGCGGTTGTAGGCACAAAAACCGCAGCTGAAACGGAGACCGCGGCGGCTCACAATCATTGCCATATGTACAGTGACCATTTGTGTTCTTCGCATAATCCATCCGGATGTTTGACCAATCCATGCTGGTTTTTGTCAGCTCCTCATACGAGCACCTTTCTACTTCTCCTCTTCTGTGTGCGCGGTGGCTGTTGGGGAGCAGGCAGAGCTGGAGGCCGGCTTAATGTGAGCAGGGGAAGCGCGAAACAGTGATCCTTCTGAGTCTCTGTAAGTATCTGATTGCAGTTCAGTAGCTCCACTGCAAGATTCACCACTGTGGCTATCAAACAAGTTTATCTTCAAAACGAACAGCTGTGTCAATTCACCGGACAACCTACTACTAAAGAGCATGGTTAAAGCCAACCATAGAAATGCATCTGCAACCTGTGTGTGTATTCCCTGAGCAACTTGGATGTGTAGTGGCACCACAAATATCATACTGTACTTATCTCCCCAAATACTATAGCGGTGAAGCAGACTTCAAATATATATGATGCTTTCAGTTCTTTATTGCGAAAGCCAAGTTCCTTCCTCCATATGTTTGAAAGCGGCAAGTGATCTTTCAGTTTCATCTTGTACTTAGAGGCAGATGCAGCTGCTTAAGGTGCAGCTGCTCGGAGACGGGTGCGAGGAAAACGGTCTCAAAATAGGCTCGCAACCCGGCAACTCGGCAATGGCAACAGAGTGGAAGATGTTAACATGCCAGGACCATTAACTTCCACTCCAAAGCCAGAAAATTTCACGGTATAATCTTCGAAACAACTGAAGATTTTAACATGCAGCTCGGCCGACTGAAGAATCAGAGGAAATGACAACCAGCAACGGAGGCGGCTCGGCGAAACCTGGCTGCGGTGGCTGCCGCTGATGCCTGCAGCAAATACAAGAGTGCTCGGAGGCGACTCAGCCCCAAAGGGACAGAACACGGCTAGGACGGCTCAAGGTGGCTTCGCCAACAACGCGGGAAGGCCAAGGCGGCTCATAGGTGACCCGGCGGACTGGCTCGAGGCGGCGACGGTGCATTGAAGCAGGCTACAGCGGCGGCTGTTGTAGATGTCGCAGCGGCACGAGGCCGATCGGGGGCAGCTCGGAGACGCAAGGCCGCGGCGAAGGCAGAGACTGCTACGGCGGCTCAGGGCGCCGAGAGGCCGTAGGAAACAGCGATGCGGAATCGGGTCATGGTGACGGCTAGGGGTCAAAGTTGTTGCAGCTCGGCGATGGCAAATCTGCAAGGCTCGAAGGCCACGCAGACCGTGGTGGTTTAGGAACGAGGCGGCCGTCGACTCGGACTTGAAACCGATGCGGAGACCAAGAGATGTAGAAGCGGCCGGGTGGCGGCTCGTAGATGAGGTTGCTCAGGGCCGATTCAACACAGCGATCCATGGCGTTGAAGTGCGACGGCGGTGGTGGCGTGAGGCGGGGCTCGAGAGATGGAACAAGGCACGGTCCTGATCCGGCTCTGTCAGGCCGCAACATGGCCGGCTCGCGGTGCGACAACGGGTTGCTAGAAGCGGCAGTGGCGTAGGCAAGGCCACTCAGCGGTGACCCGGCGGTGACTCGGTGAAGCCAGCTCATAGCAGAAAAAAGGAACAGTAGGACCCGCCAGTGAAGACGGGTGACGAGCTGACGGAGGCGGCGCGTCAAACCGGCCACATCGGCTCGGCGGTAACGGCAGTGGAGCGGAGACGGCTCACAGGCGTCGCTCTCCTGCTCGGGTACGGCGGCTCAGAGCCGGGGCCAGTTCAAAATTTTCCCAAACAGCGAGGCGGCTTCAGAGGCGGCAACTCGGATCAGAAACGACGTGTCCAACGATTCAGAGGCGGGGTCAACCCCGAGCCCGACTCGAAGAAGCACCGGTGGAGGCGGGGCGCGCGGCCGAGCCACGGCACGACGGCTCAAGGCGTGGCGGCGATTTGAGGTGGCAGAAGACCGCGACGGGTCAATGTGTTGACCGAGGCAGACGTACACTGACGAGGCAGGGCTACGGCGGTTCGGTGCGGAGCATGGCATGATGGCAGACGGCAGCTCATCGCGCGGCAGGGTCGCCGGGTGGATAACGGCGATTGCTAACAGATGACTTAGCCAGGGGAGACCGCGACTTGGAGCAGAAGAGGCAGACCAGCGAAATGGCTTGGGGTCGGCTCGAAACGTGATGGCGGACGTACCCTGGTGAGATGAGGCGGCAAGCCGGTGGAGGCAGCGGCAAACCGGCGAGGTGAGACCGTAGAGAAAACAACCCACATGCAGGGGTGGCCCGAGGCCTGCTAGTACTGCGGCGGCTCTTGGCCACTGGGCGATGCTGGACGAGGCTGCGGCGGTTCGGCAAATTTGATGGAGGTGATCTGCCTCGCGGCCGGATACGTGGCAGAAGTAAGGGCACGCTGAATCAGGGCGACTCACGGGCAACGCGAGGCCGAGCTGAAGACTCGGAGAGCCGGTTGTGGCAGAATATGGGCAGTGCAGGGAGTCCTGGCGACGGCGAAGAATCATGGTGGAGGAGGCAGCTCGGGGACACCGGCTTGAGGCCGTAACGGCAAAAAACTGCGCTGGCCATAGCAGAACCGCGGTAGCAGAGGCGAGGCGGGTCACGGCAATGGCGACTTGAAGCGGCCGGGCGGCTTGGCGCGACCCCAGCGGAGGTAGTGACCCCAATGGAGAGAGCCACGGCGGCGGGAGAGTACGGCCGCGCGGGTCGGGGCAGGGTGGAGCCAGCGTGGACGGATCACACGCAAAGTGGGACAGCATGCTGCAGAGGCCGCATGTTCCACTTTCCATGCTCCCATGCGGCCTCTTCATGCTTACCTACTCCCTCTTCATGCTTCCGTCCGTGCTCCCACCTAACAAGTCTCGTCTATGGCAGGGGCGGCTCAGCTCCGGCAGCTTGATGCGATGTGGTGGGTCAGGAGGCCCGCAAAAAGATGGAATGACCGATCGGACACGGTGGGAACGTCGCTTCTAGGAAACCCCTCGTGAGGCGCAGTCCGGCTCGGAGACAAGGCCGGTAAGGCGCGGCTGATCTAGCAGCTTGGTGGAGGCCGTGAGAGTTGGAGGCGAAACCATAGCGACGGCTTGTCCGACGGCGGCATCAGGGATGTACCGGTGGCGGGCGGCTCAGGACGGAGCTACGGTCGAGGTGGCCGTGGCCGGCTCTAAACATGCCGGCGGCTCGGAGGTGACCCCGGCTGCCAAATAGAGGAGGCGGCTTTTTGGCAATCAACGGATCGGAGTTGAAGGCGGATTTGACCCGTCCACACCCGGATCTTCCTCCGGGTCTTTATTTTAATTTTGCTCGTCTCATGGTAGCAGATTGATCCTGTTGATAAACGCAGTGGCTCATGCTAAATCTTTGGGATCTTCTCTGATGATCCTGTCAACAGAACTGATGGATGATGCCCATAAAAATTTCTGATCTTGATCTAGTAACCTCCAAGTTGATGTTGATCTTTCCAAAACCGATCTTTTCCTCATTCGGAAGATTGCGAATTTCTCGAACCCTGAAAAAGATCCCTTCAAGAACTCAACACCACCGTGCGCAGGCCCCACAGTGGGCGCCAACTGTCGTGGAAACGTCACGTCATATGTCCTAGTGTGAGGACTTAATCGTGAGGCCAACGCATTTATGCGGTAGCTTGAAGGGGTTGATCGGAATCGAGTGACGCAACATGCAAGGCGAAGATTTAGACAGCTTCGGGCCCCGGGAAACATCATCCGGTAACAATCCTACATACTGTTTGTGGCTAGATCTCATTATCATCATTAGGGAGTCGTCGTAACTCCGGCTCTCCTAGTTGTGTCTAGACTTAATGATTATTCAACTTGTCCCTTTTGGGGTGCCCTGTCCCTCCTTATATATGTTGAAGGGACGGGTTACATGTAGAGTTCAACTCGGACTTTAAGACTTAACTATTCTATCTTCTCTCCATGGGCTTCTTAACGTTTCGGCCTTCTTAACTGTTGACTTACAATCTGGCTTACCATCTGGTTTAACTGTCCGGCTTAACTATCTGGCTTAACTGTCTGACTTAACTGTCTGCTTAACTATCTGTTTAACTATCTGGCTTACATGACTGTGTCTACCGGGTTACATGACTGTGTCTGCCGGGCTACATGACTGTGTCTGCCGGGTTACATGACTGTGTCTGCCGGGTTACATGACTGTGTCTGCCGGCTTAACCTGCTTAACTGTTCCCGCTGGCTTAACCTCTGGTTTAAACAATCTGCCGGCTTACCAATGAAATGCCAAGTCCCAGCCGGGTCATACCGCGGGGTATTCCGCGACACCAAGGGCACACACACATATTTTCGGAAAACATCTTCATCATTATAAAACAATATTCTCAAAAATTCAGAATGAAGCATGATAAATACAACAACTCACTTAAGATATTCTTTCAAACCTTTGTAGCTTAGAAAAATCAAAGTTTATTGTTGGATTACAACATCACACAGTTACCAGTTACACTTATAGTACAAAAGCTGGAGTTACTTGAAGTTTAGGTTATGAAGATTCAAATCCTTCAGTCGCTTATGATTCTGGAGTTCTTCTTGCATTCTCGGCAGGATCATTGGATAGGTAACCAGTAAGATCATTTCAATATCCTCTTTAGTGTATATCAATGTTCTGAAATCTCCAACATTCTGCAACGGTTTCTTCCATTTATCCATTCTGTGTGCAAGTGTGTTCCTATAAAACCTCATAAATTCAATGGCTCCTTTTTTGGTATTGTATGACGACCCGGATCTGTAGAATGACTCCTTCAGCAAAACGTTATATTTCAGCAACACTGACCAGTTCTCACCATAGGGATCATCTAGAGCTTCATGAATATTTGACCTAAGTTCAGGGTCCACCACAGATGTAATATGGTCGCACATATCCAGATAGAATTGAAACCTGTTCCCAAGAGGAATAAGAGAGGCGTGCGTCCCTATCACATACTTCATACCTGTTGCAATGGGAGACTTCATCAATGAAAGTAGATGAACAACATCTTTGGGGATAATAGTTAGCTTGTAGTCAACAAACAGTGTGTCCATAATAATATTGCTGACATCCTCATAGTTTTTGCGCATCATAGGAACGGTCTTCTTGAAACATGCAGCTCTGATTTTCACTCTCCCATAATATGTCACGACAATGTTTGATGCATAAAACTGTACAGGACATATATTAACTTCATGAAGATCGTGTAGTGCTCTGATAATTGATGCCATGAGGCTCTTGGCCTTTTCCGCTACCACCCAATAAAACCAATGGTTTCTCATCTCACCAACAAGCTTGACAGTGTGCATGATTGGTTTCAGACTAGTGATGTACTGGGTGAGTGGCATAGATGCCTCCCCTTCCTGTTTGTGCATAAAAGCATGCGAAAATAATAAGTATGTGATGAGGTCAGACAAGCAATGGCTGATAAACAATATATGCACTCATTACAACTCACAAGGACTTGAAGTGTAATACAAAGAAAATAAAGGGATGCCAACACCATTTGCGGTCACTCAATTAGAAGCGGAGAAAGCGAATGATCAATCCATGTAAATGTTATTTGGTTATCAATGCTTGTATTTATCAAAAATTGGAGGTGTGAGTCTTCCAGAGTGTTAACTATTAGCAATTGAATAGATAAATGAGTGATTATTTTTCCCATTCATTATCATAACATTGTATTTGCAAAATAAAATGAGAGAGAACCCTTTTTCCAAAGTGCTTTGCCAGATTGGTGGTTAAATAATCAGCTACTAATATAATTGGTGGTGCGAAGTGACGGGACAAGTGTTGTGGTCATAATTTTGTCTTAGTTTTCTTTAGAGGCTACTAACTTGGCTTTAGTAGTGCACTCCCTTCAATTTTGATTGAATGGCATGTCACTCAAATGAGTATCGATGTATGTGTATAATGCATAGACCATGGAGGATGGATGCACACACAAGCACATACCAACCACCCACACACCCATGTAGAATTCTTGACAAATTGCTATGTTCGAACTTTATTCATGATAGTTGTGTGATTTGAGTAAAAAAATTTTACTAGGCATACAATTTCACTAAAAAAATATGATGAGTTTAAAGGCGCTAAACTAACTTGCAAAATAACACAAATGATGCACGTTTTAATTACTACTCCCTCCGTAAACTAATATAAGAGCGTTTAGATCACTAAAATAGTAATCTAAACGCTCTTATATTAGTTTACAGAGGGAGTAGAAAGCACATTGCTAAATAGAGATCAACAATGTTGGATGGGGAGAACATAGCTCAAATCAAAGATGAAAACCTTGTCAACTATTAATTTCAAAGGACCTATCCAAATTCTCCCATGTTGACAATCGAATTTGGGCTCGTTCCACAAACACTACTCACGCTGAAAAGATCTACTTCCTAGTTGTTTTAGGTTTTTTCTTCCTCAATTCACAGTAAGTTGAATAGATTTGCTTTGAACATTTATGTCATGGAGATGCATATAATAATGTGTTGTTGTTGTGGATTTTCCTCAAGATTTTTCATGCCTTTTTTGGGTGCCTCCCAAGTATTGCCATGTTAAATACCCTAGAACTACCAAGTGGTTACCAAGTAGGCTCCAATGAGGACTAATATAAGGTAAAACCTCTGGTAAGCCGAGCCGAGTTAGTAGAACATACCCTGGCTTCAATATCTAGGTTAACAATAAACTGAGTCTCTTAAAGCCAATAATTAGAGTGGACACAAAACAAACCTGATCAAGAAAAGTCGGACACAACCATGTTGGTACATGCACAGCATCTTTCACTGCAAACTCTTGATTTCCCGCAACTTCAAGTTTTACATCTTTAAGAAGGTAATTTGTTTTGGTATGTTCTGCATCCACGCCAAAGTTCTTAAACAAGACCTACATTCATAAAGACATATATATTGTGTAACAGAGTAAATATACATGTACAACCAGAAAGTCTACATGAAAAAAAATTTGCAACCTCTATGTTATATTCCAGAGAAAGTTGGAGGTCTGGCTTTGTATAGATCTCAGCAAGTAGACTAAGAATCTCCATTGTCCCAACACTAATAGTTGGCTGGCAAGGTTCAAGAATCTGCAGAGCAATCATTGGTCATGATACCAAGCAATCCCAAATAACATGTTATAGAGAAATGGGACTGATGCAAATTATGCACACCTTTGAAATGAATTGAACTACAGCAAGCATCAACCCTTTCTGATACGCCTGCAAAAATAGTTTCGGTAGAAGAGTCAGACCATGGACGTGACATTTGACATGTTTGTAATATATGCACAGTTGCCCTCTTTTCTATCTATTAGCCAAAATGCAAACCATGCAAGATGAGAATTGCTAAACACCAATAAATCTCTAAATATAGGTGAAATTCTGACTTTAGAAGTAGCCATCCAAAACAAGGTAGACATATCATGTAGAACAGAGAGAACACGGAAGTTGAACTCGGCAACCGCATTTACATTGTCAGAAGAAGCATGCACACGTCAATTATGTCACAAAATGCGTATTCCAATGCAAAAGCAATACCTTTACTATAAGAGGTATTAGGCCATCTACATAAGTGCTTGGGTCCTGGTTCCATTGAATGGCAAATTTTCCAAACCAAATACCTATATTTTTCAGTAATGTGCGTTCGCCTGAACAAGATTTGGTAATATCGGATCGTAATAATATCTGCATAAACAAACACAATAATACTTGAAAAATTGTTTTTGTATCTTTCATATGTAGCTCTCAGAGTGAGGATAACCTTGCAGTTCGCGTATGTAGCTTTCAGTATTTCCATGTCCAATACTGGTGAGTTTACTTTATGAAGGAACATTAAACATATGTCATGAAAATTTGGGTCGATGCATACCCTGCAATTGCGCAATTCATCATGGTTACGAAATTTGCTCAAAACTGTGAAGAACACAAATAACTGTGTTACCTTTGCATGACCATGTACTGTGCAAACCAAGGATAATATTGTTCCATCAACACTTGATAAAATTTGAATCCATTAGCTTCTATATTATCAATGGACATACTGTAAATCATGAAAAAGATCTTGGTCCGAATTTCATATGGAGGAATCTAAGGTGAAAAGGAAAATCAATTAGCCACCAAACGCAAGTCATATATTCTCTAAAGAAACACAAATCAATAAATTGCTAAAAAAATATACAAACCTTAACGGGTGTAACCCTTTCGTCCGCTGCTGCTAAATGTGTGCGGATATGTAATGACATCTTGTTGAATTTTATTTCCTGAATAGAGACCGTTTTCCTTTTTGATATACTTTGAAAGAAGGTGTTCCAAACCTATATATGAAATCTTTGCTATCTTGACCCCTACTGAGGAAGCTCCTATTCCTTTGATCCAAAATTTGAGCTGACATCACAGAACCATCTGCTCCTTACATAAACTCTATTTCTGGAATTCACAGCCTGTGCCAAATTTTACAAAAATCAAAATGATCAAATTCAAATATATCTGACTTGTTTTGTTCTTTTTTTTACTTACTGCTCAATATATTACACTTACAATTCTGAAGAGAAATTCCTAAATCATTTTATACCCAAGATCTGAACTATTTAGATACTCAGAATCGCATTCAAAGTTTCAAACCTACTTGAGCCAGATTTACCCAAATTCAAATTTTAATGCATGCACCCCAGCAGTTTGCCCCCTTTAGCACCTTAGACTGCATGCGGGACTGAGACAGCAATAACTCTATGGCCTCTCTATCTGGACACAATCAGTCGAACTTACTGCGCTGCAAGTTTGCAACCATAAAAGTGTCCTAGGCAAACAGAATAAAAAATTGTACAGGTCTATATGGAGTACACAAATTGGCACAAGACAAGTGTTTGTTATTCATAAAAGAAGTAAAGAGTTCCCACAAAAAAAAAGTAAAGAGGCTTTCCCCGGAAGAGTGCAGGCGTTTTTTATTTTTATTTTGATAATAGCTGAAGAGTATACTTTTTTTTGCGGGGAAGCTGAAGAGTATATATACTGTTGAGGAGGGATACATCTCTTCCTTTCCCATCAAGAGGACTGAGAAAATATGCAACGCATCTGATACTGTAACAGAGGAAGAACCGGTGCTCAAAGGAGAGTTCGTCAAACTAATTACTCCCGCTAATAATCCAAAAAAAGCTGACACTAATTACTCCCTATAACATGATGCAACTTCAGTATGTATTCTAAATAAAACAAATAAAAAGGAAAGAGTTTTTGGGTCTCAAGAACTGACTCGAGATTCAGGTATGCGTGAAAGGTAGGTAGAGGATAATTGTCATGCATCATCATCCATGAAAAGAATCGAGAAACTTTTTCTGGCAAAAATCTCAACTAACCTTGAGAGGACCTTCCTAGTCTCCAGGCTCCAGAGATGTCGATCCTAGATAATAAGTGTGATTAGCTTGCTAATGAGACCGGTTATAAATGAAAAGGGAGAAGGCACGGTAGTAGTTGTTGACCTGAGACGATGGTCACGACGCGTACCGGTGAAGGGTACCGAGCGCGTTCGGGCGGTAAAAGGCGGTGCCCTTCCACCCCATAATATATATGGAACGAAATTTCTATGCAGTTGACAATAGGAATTATGATTGATGTAGACACGCAAGATTAGACCAGCCCAAGATTAATGGTCGCATGCATCTTTCAGATGCAGAGGCCGAGGATGAGCCTTCTTTTTTTAAAATAAAATAAAATAATAAGTGAAACTAAATAATCTGTCACCAGCTCCGGCCTATATGCAGGTACGCCAATGTCCATGCACACGCACAGCAACACTTATTAGCCTAAAAATGTTCACGCTATCCTTCTTTGAAATAACCAAAGCGCTGCGAAAAAATATTGAACATTTACCGCTCCTAATTTTTCTGGCAATGTGACAAGCAGAAAATGTAGATTAGCTAAGCGGGACATTCTTCGTAGGCAAGGATCAAGGCGGACTTGGGATTGATAAATCTTGAAATTTGAAAATGTTTCGTCAGCAAATGGCTGTACAAGCTCTTGACTGACAACGGAATAATTGCTAGGAAACAAGTACGTCCAAAACCTTGTTTCACGTTGGGGCAAAACTGTCTTGCTCACCATTCTGTAAATATTGATGCAGATCAAACCGGAGTCCTTTGTAGCTTCGTAGGTAATGGTCAAATTAGGAGGTTCTGCCTGGATACTTGATTTCAAGACACGCCACTCGCTCTTCAACACCCAAGCGGCCAAGCCTCTACATTATAGTGCAAGAGAAAGAGGTGTTTGTAGATTCTGTTTTAGGCTGGCCAAGCTATATGAGAATCTGACCTAACCAAGATTCTGTTTTAGGTGCAATGATTTTAAGTTCTGTCGGGCTTTCATTTAGGATTAGTGGACCAAGTG